CCACAGTAGGGTGTCACCAAGAAGATAAACCAGACTGGGCCAGACTGCTTGGGGCTTAAGACGGCTCGTTTGCACACGGGCCAGAATGTGTCTCGCCCCCATGCACTTGGATCGAAACAGGTTCAAGCAACCCTGTTCGTCTACGCTGTAGCTTTGCGAAGAGCTTTCTCCGCCGCCATGGGACCTCTTGTCTCTGGCACGTACCTGGGATAGCAAAGCAATGGGCTCAACGAAGCACCCTTTGCTTCACTGAGACGCTGGCGTAAAGCCCTGAATGTGAAAACCAAGAGATGTCACGTCGGGGGATGATGGCCTGGCAGTAGCTCCATGAAGCGTCTACATCAGCTCGCATCAACGGCCTCACCTCAGTCTCGGAGAGCAGCATCTCATGCTGGCTGAGGGCCTGAAGTTGAGAATTAGAATACCATGTCTGCCGTGGTTCTCACGAGACTATCTCTTTGCCCTCGTGCAGGGCCTGAAAGGAGGTTGTAGCCCCAGGTTCAAAGCAGATTCCCAGTCGATGCTCGTAAGCCATGGACTCGCCTGCCCAGCACGCGATGACGTTGCAGTCGCCAAGCAGGTGGCTGTGCCACGAGCTGGAGCTACCAGGCTACTGTACTGCAGTACAGGAGTCAGCAGGTCTCTCGTGCTGCACGTGCCATTCGTGCCTTGACGCTGGCAGCCGACTTGAGTCTCAATGCCAGGTCAGGGGTCAAGAGCTCTCGAACGAGCGACGTCGCCTCCGTGGAGTGGACCTCAGAGTGCTTCGCCGAAAAAACGGTCAGCGCCGGCTGGGCTCCGGGCATGCTCGAAGCAGAAGTGTCCGTCCATGATCATTTGGAAGAGCCTCCCAGGCCCAAGCCCAAGCCGCCCGCCCGACCCCGCACGTTAAAGTGTTGACACCGCACTTGGTTCCGGCCTGCTCTCGTTGGGATCTCGGAATGGAGGTCGCCCCTCCAACATTTCGAAGATCAGCACGCCGAAGGACCACCTCTGAAGATGGAGCAGAATCACAGAAATTATCTGTCGCTGTGGCCCAAACCAGTCCAACTCGCAGGCATAGGACTGCCTTCGAAAGACCTCGACTCGATGCGACGAGCCGTTTTAGTTCTCAGATGAAGGTGCCTGTTCTCCTCAGTCCTGGCCTCTGGTGGCAGGTACTCCGGCGTGCCACACATCGTTGACGTTAACGCCGTTCCTGCTGTCCAAAAGTATGGAAACAACCGGGTTCAAGAAGCCGATCGAGGGGCGCACTTAATCCCATCTTCGCCAGCCCGAAATCCGTCAGCCTGGAGCCACCACGCCACTCCATGCAGCACGAGGAAACGGTCGTCCTTTTCAGTCCTGACGTGGCCGTCGAGGTCCAACAGCACGTTCTCAGGCCTCGCTGTTGTGGCAAGAGCGGAAGAGCGGGGCTGCACATCTCAGGGCGCAGCTTGAGGTCTCGGTGGCAGATTCCCCTCTCGTGAAGATATTCCAAGCCCAAGGCCACCTCACGAGAGACGAGAGACGAGAGGAGGAGAGGACGACAGCTTCGCGCTCAGCCTAAGCCGCCGGGCCTCAGCCACAAAGAATCGAGCTTGAGCTTCGCTAAAACGCCCTGAGCGGCGAATGTGCTCGAGGAGTTCGCCTCCGCCTCAGCGTAGCTCTGTGCTCTGTGGCGTAGTCTGCATGGGGCCTGGGGTGATATGTTTTGGCTCTTCGCGCACCATGTAAAAACCAGCGTATAGCACATTGTCATGTCATGCTGGCAGGGTGATGCGCTTTGATGTGGCGATTGGAGCAAGCCCTGAGCGGATGCGTGCCTTGATACCTCTACGACCACCTCAATGATGTCCCATATTATACAATATGTATATATATATATAGAGAGAGAGAGAGGATGATCGCGAGCACATTATGTTTCACAGGACCGTACGAGTACCATCATGAAAAACAACGCCAAAGCAAAAGCTAGTGTGATCACCTCTCACAGTGCATAGGCCACGCGAGCATGGGACGCCCAAGTCCCGGCTGGCAGACCCACCCCACAGGAGCAGACTGCCCTTTGCGCATTGCACAACGGGTGCTGCTCGGGATCCCCTTCTCTGTAGGAACAGGTCGGTATAGCATGCCGACAGCTGCACAATAACTGCCAGGGAACACCCCTTATCAAGTAGCCAACGGCCTGAGAGAGATCTGAGACAACCTGGTTCAACCGCGTGGCCAAAGAAATCTGTCAGCAGGTAGAGTCGCGATGCTGACTGGAACGCATACCTGATCCGTTCGTCCGCAACGGGTTCTCCTCGACGTTTGTGCAAACAGCATGCCTTAGCCTCGCCACGAAGGGATGATTTGCCTTTGCAGGAGGCTGCAGAAGACAGAAGACACCTAACACGCTACGGACCACGGACCAGATCTGCCAGGGAGGCCAGGGCCGTGACGCTTCTCAAGACCTTGCGCTCTGTGATGATGTACTCCGCACGGCGCCTGCTCAGGAGCGCACTGCTACGCACGGAGGTCGCGGGCGGAGGTCGCGGGCGGAGCCTGGAGTCCCCAATTCGGGACTTGCGCAGCACCTTCATGGCCAGCAGCCTGCAGTGCTGCGCGAGGAGTTGAGGAGTCTCGGCTCCTTGCGCTCGCGCCGCTCGCGCGCCTTTGGGAAGTGTCATCCCTCTTCCTGACCAAATAGACTCGACCGAAGGTTCCTGCCACACAGCAAGGGCCGCAGCTCTCCCCCACCGCCGCCCTGCCGGCCCGCCTTTCCCTATGCACTGCAAGAACCTCGCAGAGCCAGCAACAAAGGCTGATGGGCCCCCGGGTGGCTTAGGCACTGAGGGAAGTGCTCGAAGTCGGCTTCTCGGATTCGCTGTGGCGAATTCATCTCGGCACGGCACATGTCATCGGTCTGTGACAGGACACCAAGCTGGGCAGCTGGCATTCCCCTTCTTGAATGCCGGAAGCCGTTCGAAGGCCTTCGCGATCTGAAGCCCGAAAATGGCAACAGGTCACAATGTCGCGACCCTTCTGTCCAGTGCTGGATCTGCTAGACTGCTAGGCACAAGGGACTCCTTTCAGCCTTTCAGGCCTGTTCTCGACCCCGATCATGGGAGGCCTGCTCGCGACCTGCAAGCACACGCCTTTGCTGGAGTCCCGCCCAAATTCGAAAAGTCTTGAGTCTTGAGATCGGAACATGTCGTGTTGGGGCTACCACCTGCCCGTGACGCACAGCTCTCCGGAAACTGTCTTTGCATCAAGCTCATGCCAGAACCTTCGTCTTCGAGACGCTGGCAAGGTCTCCTGTCCTGCTGAGTCCGGAGCAATGCAGCAGAGCAAGACAAGCGCCGCAAAAAACCCTGACTCTCCTTGCGGAGCGAGGTGCAAAGGTTGCGGCCTACGCGTGCCCCCATGGCCTCGGCGGCTCGGCGGAGCCAGCGAAAATTACAATCCTCAGCCTCAGTGCGAAGCCCAGCCACGAGGCAGGCGAGGACCTGAGGAGCCCCCCCCTGCAGGAGCCTCCACTGCACCCAGTGCCATGCAGGCCTCGCTAGGCCTTCTCAGCGCCATAGAGCGCGGGAGACGGCGATAGCAAACAGCTGGATGGGCCTATTTTCCCAACCAAAACGGCATTTGCAAGTAGCGGCCAGTATTGTGACATTCTTTTGGTGGTATATATTGCAGACAGCTGAAGACTTCAAACAAACAAAAGTGGTCATGCAAAGGGTGGAAAGGTGATATTTGATGTGAAAAAGGTAAATTTTTTCCCTTTCATATCATTTCCGGTAACTAACTGCTCTGGCTGCTACCTAGACTTGGATGCAGATCCAGACGCACACTCCGAACAGCCCCGACCCTGACCAAGACATGTCCGGGGAATTCATTCTTGCAGGATTGTGGTTCCCGCTGTCGGGCCCGGATTGCTCGTTTGGCATCATGCATGCATGCAGATGTGTGTTTCCTACTAACGGCACGAGCATACAAGAAGATGTAGTTATCACATCGAAACCAGTACATCGACAGCGCACACACACACAGAGCTGTAAGCTGATATCGCAGATCAACTTGTAGTTCGCACCAAAGTGTAAGTTGAAATCGTACATGCAATCATACATGAACTTGTAGCCCGTGCATGAGATCGCACAATAAAATATCGTACAAGCACATCACTTTGTAGCTCGTGCATGAACTGTAAATCGTACATGAACTTGTACTCGCACCTCAGAATCGTATCCAGTATCGTAAAAATGTCGGTGGAATGCCAGGGTTAGCTGAGATGGATAGCCCTCCTGAGAGTACAATGATGCGGGACGACACTGCTTGCGACTCAAGGCTTCTAGTGTGGATCTCCAAAACACACACAGCAGCAGGACGGTGCTGGCGGCATACAATCTGAAGGATCAACAGCAAGCAAAGGGATTTGTGGAGGAGCTGCTGTCAGCGGATAAAGCCTATTCGTGATGACTGTTGTGACTGTATATTGCAGCCCCTTTCCAGATCACCACAGGAGAGCCTGCACTTCAAAAGGGATCGTGTGCGGTGGTTTGGCTCATAGGGTTAACTACGGCCTTTCTTGCCCGCGCCTGCTTTTGCACAGGAGCAGCAACGAACAAAGATTTGAGGCACACAAAAAGCACATGACCCAGTCCACCCCACACTGCACGGCAACATCTTGTGGCATCCGCTGCTATCCTTCTACCTGATCACATGCATCTTTTACATACCTTTTCCTCACATACCTCCTCCCCTACCATTTTCTACCTTTCTCACACTTCCTCTGTTACCTTGATTCTAAATTACCTTTCCCTTTAGACCTTTACTCAAACATCACCTTCGTTTTGCCTTTATGTCCCCTTTGCAAGATGTTTTACTCAACCCAGGATATACCAAACAGAACTTCACAACGCCAGAAGGAAGAGAAGCTGGCGGAAGGCTGCAGAAATGCAAGCGGCGAGTCTGAATGGTGCATTTTGCCCCCGCCATCGCTTGAATTCGGGAGGGAGGAACTCCGTCCGCTGACGAGACTATGTTGGATAAACAGAAGCTCTGTAGACCAGCTGGACGTGGGAGGCGACCTGGCCCAGCGACTCCGCTGTGCGCTGTGACGTGCTGTTTCCGCATGCGAGCCTGGCTGGCAAAAGCGCCGTTGAGCGCGGCAGCTGTGGCCCCAGGCGGCAGGTGCGCAGGGCCACCGTTCGGGGCAGCCAACGGGGCGTGTTGGGCTTGTGCCGGGCCCTGGACGTACTCCCTGTTCGGCTGCTGGTACGACTGGGGCACCTCACACAGACGGCAATTGGCGAAGTCTTGCTCCCTTTTCTTCCTGAGCCGGCTGCAAACGGAACTGGCTCGAGCCTCGTCATGAAAGCTCAGTCAACGGAGCAAAACTTGTGTGGGTTGTTCTGGCGAGATTCGACTGGCAGGGGCCGGCCAGCATGGGAACCTGATAATCTCTGGAGAATCACCCTGATGAAGGACGTCTGGCTCTGTGAGCTTCGTGCCGGTTGCAGACGATGGCCAAGATCGAGATCACCAAGAACGCGGACCTTGGCGTGCAAGACAAAGTGTGCATGCAGATGCAGCGTCCCTACAGCAGCCTCTGTGTTCAGATGCCTGAGCGTCCGTAGAGAGCGGCCGGAAAGCAGTCGAGATGTGCCGATTGTTATCGACAGCGGTGCCAGCGCAAACTTTCATGTCCTGCCAACGGCTTCTTTGGCTTTGTCACTCCAGCGTGAGATCCTGCCTGGATCAAAGGCAGCACCACAGCCAGAAATGCGTGCTCGCTGTCCAATCCCAGGAGGCCCTGCCACAAAACATGAGTATTTCTCGCGGCTCCTTCTTGATGACCGCAGTTCCTAAACAATATTGGTCCCACAACTCCACACCCAACTGTTTCAATACCGCTGTAGCTTTCGAACCAGGAGTCCTCGGAACGGTCCACGAAGCCGTTGGCTTCCGTGCGGATTCCTTCAGCTCGATTGATTTGTGCCTGAAACAATACGAACGAGACTGGCGATGATGAACACTGGTGATCATGCATGAGCATGTCCACACACGTATGCATACACATACAGAGTTCACGGTGATCTTGATCCTACAAATATACCTCAAGGCCTGAAAAGACTATAGATGACCCTCGGAGTACGACGGGTGGCTCTTACAAACACTGCCACGCGAGCTGGGGCCTCAAGGGTCAGCTAAGTGGGTCAGCTAGGCTGGGTGCATCCCAGCAGAGATTCGCCGCAGCGGCTGAGGCTCTGGTGGAGACGGGTTGTCTGCGCGGATTGTGCCGGAATGGCCTGACCCAAAACCTTCCAAGTTTGCGCGACAGCTGGAGCCCAACCCCGCGAAATCCGCTACGACAGGCGACGAACGAGAGGCCCTGTTCCGGTCGGAATGCTGGCGGTAGTTGCACGCTTGCATGTCAACACTCGGCAGCAAGGCGGTCGGCATATAAAGCTGACAATATTTACAGTAAAAGTTAAAAGATTGCATGTAGACATCATATTTAACAGCATGTGAATGTTCAGGCAGCGACATTGGAATGCACAGGTGATTGACTGAAATTCAGGAACAAAACCAAGCGTATGTGACTGATAATAAGCAATGGTTTCCTATTGCTTAGCGAATTTTTCCCTGCTCTAATGGAACTTTAGTTTTGAAGCTTTTTCATTCTCGGTTGGCATGAGTTTTGCGTGACAGCTTTAAGATTATTCATGTGCTTCAGCCAGCTTCCAATGTCAAGACAGCACATTAACTGTAATTAAGCAAACTCCCCCACTGTGGCACATGCTGACAGAAAAAATAATGTACTAGTAGCACATATTCGCTTCGGCCCCGGCCGAAGCTGTCAGGTTCCTGTTCGGATTGCCACTATTCGCCACCTCCCCTCCCCCTCCCACCCCTCCCCGCCCACCGCTCACCCTTCGCCGCTGAAGAGTTTGGGTCTGCTCCAAGTTCTCGGGTTAGGCCAAAGATACTGAAAGTTACAAAGTATCGCACTTCAATGCAGAACACTTGCGTGCGACGTTGTCATTGTGGTTTGAAATAATCGCTCCCCCTACCTGGACCTAGACCATCCGTTCATGTGTTTATTTTCGTTCGCTTGGATTTGTGTGTTGAGTTACATACTTGAAGGAAAAACATATGGGATGTTTATTTCCGTGCGTAATACATTTGGGCTTATAGGTTGTGGCGGCTATGGGCTTTTATTGAATATAGAAACATTTACCGTGCGATCATCGGGATGGTTCTTTAAGCACAATGCTACAATCGACCAGTGTATTATCTTTCTCTATAACATACATACAGACATATATATACATATATATATATATATATATCCAAGCCCTTACTTTTTGCTGACCATCATCTACCAGATGCAGATCCTGATCTTTTCGTACGCCGGGGTCTCAGAATCATCCGAACTCTCTCTTCCACTGTTTGTGGTAACACAGAAGACTAAGACGAATGGTTCGGATAGCGCATGTCGTGTTAGAGCATCGCCGACTTATCCTGGCCACCTTGCCAATGAAATCCTCATCTTGCCAGCAATTCATGCCTAGTGTTGAAAGCACTTGACGATTTGTGTGCGGATCAGCTTTGCGATTCAGGGCCATGCTATATTCCCCACATGCTAGATTGCAGGATAAGCCTCCACGCGGATTCCAAACCATCTCAAAACCTTGCTGAACTTGAATCTCGATGTCACGTTTGATGCAGAAGTACACGGCTACACTGGTTGTGTACATATAGGTTTGGCCATTAGCCAAAGCAAGCTATACTATAGGAATCCAAGATGCGCAATGTGCATGCACATGCGTACCTTTGGTCGTACTTTGAAGAGCATCCAGCGTCGTTGCCACGTGTGGAAGGCTAAACCATTGGCTCCGTCCTGGGTCATACATAACAATACGAAAGTGGTACAAGATAATATGATCATACATTTATGTATACGATATATTTAGTTAATAAACTTGCAGATCAGAGTACACTCGCACACCATCCGTGATGAGCAATCTTTGCAGCCTCCGCACGTGGGATCCACATAGCGTGGGCAGATAGCCCTCGGAAGAAAGCATTCACATTCTCAAAAGTCCAGTGGAGTAGGTCGTAAAGGTCCCTGTCACCCACAGCCTAGAGCCGGTCGGTTCAGCAAAGAAAACTGTTTCAGTGCACCGGCTTTTATCGAAGAATTAAGATATAATAAAAGCCAGAAAACAACTCGTGCAGATCCTCCAGTCTCACTGAGCAAGTCCTCCACCCACTCATAAAGTAAGGTTGTATCCGAGCCCTTCCCGGCACCTTTGGGATAGTACTGCAGCCTGAGATCAGTTGCTACTAGGTAGGACATGGGCTCACAGTCAATTAGTGCTAGGCATCATTATATACGACTGAAAATCAAAAATGGCCTATGGGTTTGTTATATCGTATCTTGATTGAGTACATGCAATGTCTATAACCAGATATATCCTCTATCCCATATAGGACTAACTTGCTAATGGACCATGCTACCCTAACAAAACCCAAGTCTATCATGATCCACGCCTAACGAACTCAGGTCAGCAACGTCTTCATCTTGAACTTCAGCAACGTAAAACAATCGAGGCTCGTGGATTTGTGGCTTCTTGAACACCAGCTGATGAAATTGTCGCACAAAGCATCTAATCTAATCTGTCCTGCGTAGATCTTCCAGGGAAAAGTGCTATCCGCGCAAGTAACACGACAGCCGAAGCAGCCATTGCAGAGCCAAATCCCTGAATGTGGAACATGTGACAAGGGTCAGTTCGAATTCTCCAGGGGTCATCGCCTCCGGGTATGCTACGGAGTGGGCTTACCTCTTCCTTCCAGGGATCTTCGGCTAGATCGAGATCATCTCTCGTCCAGGAGCGGATTTCGGATGTAGAGGAACCATTGTGCCAGTCCTTCTATGCCCAAGACAATCTTGAAGCAGCTGAATTAAACGTATATTGGTATAAGGCAATATAGGTTTTTTGAGAACACCCGACCTCCTGCTCACATAAATGGCAGATTCGGGTGCTGGAGAAACCCGTGACAAGACAGTACGCCTTTCGTAACCAAACCCAGTCACCTTTGCACCCAAGCCATGCCATGCTGAAGTGATAGGATTCGCCGGCATGTACGACCTCAACAAGCGCTAGCTGCGATCATATGATGCAAACGAGGCACATCTAAACCATCCTTGAAAAGAGAAGTACAATCCTCTGCCAATCTCTCCAGCAGCTTGAAGATTGTACTGTCTCCATGGTAACATCGAGCCGGTATCACTGTAAAAAGCAAGCGTGAGCAAAAGCTGTGCCTTAGATGTATGGCAGTGACCAGCACATAGCTTATACATCCTATCATATGTACTACCAACCACGGTTAGTAAATACAGACCTAATTGCCCGCTTTCATTCAATCTGTGCTTGCCGAAGTGGGAAAGCAGGCCCTGATAAGCCAACACCAGCACAGGCATTGTGGACCTCCCACGGCCTTCATCGCCGTGCAGGAAGTACGGCAACGTGCACTTACGATCCAAGCCCTCAGTAAAGCTTGGGTGGCAGGGGTCCCCCGACTCGTAGTTACACCAAAATTCCTCGAGATCACATTGCCACAGATGAACTTGGGAAATATGGTGTCCACCTAATAGCCTGGTTTGCTCCTAAATGCATATATGTAGAACTCCCAAAACGAGCTATCCTAGGTGACCCGAAATCAACCGGAACGAGGTTGCTTAACACTATAGAATATATAATAGGTTTAGCTAGGGAATGTATATCCAACTTTGATAAAAAGGTGTAAACCACTGCTTAGTACTGCTTAGAGACATGGTTCCGCCCTGATCTTCAAGTGTGTGCTTGGCCCAATCAGACAACTTCATAATTGGCCATGGTGTCGTCTTGACTTTTCTGGTCCGGGCATCACGGATTCCAATCGTTGCAATTGAAATCTTGACAGGCAGTGTGAACTTCGGACTGTAAAGGAATCGATGGAGGTTCCGGCAGGTGTTGGCATCGGTAGATCCCGCACACTTCCCCAGCTTTTGCAATGTAGTATCACGGAGCCCTGCAAGCCAAGGAGATTGGAACATAGCCAGAAGCATAGTATAGGTATGTAGGGCACTACACATACACAAAGCGGTACACTTTATATAGTTATCAAGACTAGCGTACAAGCTCAAACATCGGAACGCTTTAGGGCCTCGTCGTTCCAATTTCCGGTTGGCTTTGAAAGCAAGACGACATGTCCGGGTAGCCGAGTCAGCCTTGCTGCAACAGGTTCGGATCCCCATCACTAAAGTAACCGGGCCCCATACACACAACACACACACACACTTGCAAACTCCATGGTGGGAGTAGCTAGAGCGATTTACTTCCTAATGCAGGTGTTGTCGTCGTTAAGTCGTGTCGTGAGGATGAGGGTCCTGTCCTCTGTCGTCGTCAAATGCCGAGTTGTAGGGATAAGGGTCCCGTCCCTGGCATTATAATGCGGGGATAGGTTTCTGTCCCCGGAGCCAGACATAGAGAATGGCTGCCACTGCCAGTCAAAGTGCGATGTCCGGGCAGGGCGTAAAACGTTCAAAGTGCCAAGTAGTAGAGGGATTGGGGCACATCGGGGATATGGTTTCGGTCCCCTTGCAGGTACGTTACAGCAACTTGCTATCAGGCTCTTCGTTGGCCATTCCCTGATAGCAAGGCTGAATGGCCCCCTGCGGATTTGGTCCCTTTGCTATCAGGGCTGTACACACACAGCTACTTCCCAATTTTTGGGAAGTAGCATGCAATTCGTCGTCTGGGGGTCACCATGACCTTTCGCAGGTCAACGCCGCAGCCACGTCATGGTGCCCTTGAAAAAAACGCGTCGTCTGGGGTAAGGGCCCTGCCCCATTGAGGCTTGGGTCCTGGCCTCATGCAATCAAGGAATCAATCAAGGAATCAATCAAGTTGAAAAGAATCAAGGAGTGCACTAGCTCCTATATCCCACCACCATCCCCAGAACACCTCCAGGACGACAGTAGTAGCGAGTAGTTAGCTTGCG